CCTGCCTGCCAACCCTGGGACGCCCACGGCTCAGCTCAGGGGGTGGCAGAAGGCCCTGTCAGGGTGAGCCATGGGCACGTGACTGTCCACACCAGAGGCTGGCCTCGCCCCAGCTCCCAGCCCTCGCCTTCTGCCTGGCTCTGGTCTGACTTGCCAGGTCTCTGATCCTTGGGTTTGCCCCTCTCCCATAGCTGGCCCTGACTCCCCTTTGATATCTCAGATTTTGGTAGGTTTGCGGTCTTGCTGGTGTTGCCGGGCTGGCCTGTGGCCAGTCGGCTGTCAGCTCTACCTACTGCTTTGCCTTGTACAGCAGGACTGACCCCCGCAGACCACGTTTCCCAAGCCCTGGTGGCAGCTGGCCTCCAGCTGGTTTTGGACAGTAAGAAATTCTGGCAAGACTGGAGTGCCGGAGGGAAGGAGAAGCCAGAGAATTTCTCTCTCTCTGCACTGGTCAGCAGCTTCTTCGGGAATCCAGTTCCATCTGGGCAGATCCACATGTGTTTCAGTTTTTATACCTGATCTTGGCCTTGGAGCTCTGTTACCTCTGCTTCCCACTTTTTTCCTTCAGTCCAGGGGTGGTGGCGGTGTCCCACTCTTCCAGACTTGGGGGTTGTTCTGCTGTCCCCCTTGGCTTCTCACTCAATTGTAAATACTTAGAGTGTTTGTTAGAAGAACGGCTGGAAGTGATGGTTTCTCACACACCGGAAGTTTATGTTATAGATTTCCAAGTTAGAGCTACTAGGACTTTTTCTTGGTTCCTTTTCTGCAGAAAGCACTCATGTCCAAGAAGAATTAACTCCTAGGGAATTGAGCGGGCTCGGGTGGCCCTAGCATTAAAGGTTAAACCAAGTTACGGTGAAAGAAAGAAAGAGGTAGGAATTTGAGAACCGAAAAGGAGAGTCTGGAGTTCCTCCCAGTGAATGTTTTGGACAGTCTTGGCCACAGGGAATCACAGACAAGAAAGCCGGCATCCCAGGGTGCCTGGGTGGCTCAGTTGGTTAAGCAACTGCCTTCAGCTTGGGTCATGATCCTGGAGTCCCGGGATCAAGTCCCGCATCAGGCTCCCTGCTCAGCGGGGAGTCTGCTTCTCCCTCTGACCCTCCCCCCTTCATGTGCTCCCTCTTTGTCTCTCATTCTCTCTCTCAAATAAATAAAATCTTTAAAAAAAAAAAAAGAAAGAAAGAAAGCTGGCATCCCAGACCTAGATTGGAGGTATTTGATGTGGACGATGTGTAAGAGACCGAGAGGCAAAGGAGGCTGGGAAAGGAAGCACCTGACATGGTATCTTTTACATAAATGGGCTGTAACGGTTTGACCAGCAGATAGAACCTGCTGCCTCGGAGAAAGGGATGGGCTTTGGTATTTCATGATCCTGTTATAGGTCTTCACTTGGTTCTCCCTTGACAGTCATGAATTCTCTCCTAGCATTAGAGTGGGTTCTGTGCTTGGTCCCTGGGTCTCTGGAAACCCAGGGTCTAGGAGTGAGGGGACCCCTTTCCTGCTCCGTAGAAACTTAGCTCATGGGAACGTTTATTCCAGTGATCCGGCCCATGGTGGAGGGAACCATTCTGACTTCAAGATGCAAAAAGGCCTTCCCACAGTCTGTATTCTAGGGCAGGCATTTGCTTTTTTATCAATTTTCGGTTAAGAATGGAATATTAAGAAGCTTTAAGATTTTCCAGCTTGATTTTTCATAGACAGCTTGGGTAACATGTGGGCTAAGAATATCTTTTCATGTGAATTTCATCTGAAAACAAAAATAGAAAAATATTACATAAATCCAGACTGGTTTTTGTGATGGTCTCCGTATTGACTTTATTTAAAAATATGGACAACTGTTTAACAGAATGTTAATAGGCAGGAGCATTCACCCGGTGCCATTTTGGCAGCTCCCACAAAGAAACCAAGTGGTAATTAAGTTTTTCCCCCTTCTCCGGGAGCAGTTACACAACAGTTACATTTTTCTGCCAGTGAAGCAGCCCTAGGAGAATTCAAGCACAGCTGGAAGTTACACTCCTGTGCAGTCTGCAGAAGTACCGCAGAACTTTCTAGTAATCCAGCACAAATCCCTGACATGGGGTTGATCTTATTTATTTATTTGTTTATAGCTTTTGAAAATTAAAGGAAAAGAGAAAAAATCTGTGAAGCTTAACGGTTTAATACCAGGGGATGTTTTTCATCTGTGGCTTAAGCAGTGCTGAAGAGAAAGCTGTATCCTAACAGGCGTTTGTTTTACTTGGGATTCTTGGCTACCAAGGACTGCAGCCCAGCCCAGCTTCAGCCAAAAAGGGAAGTTCGTTCGTGTTTACAGACCCTGGTGTAGCTCATAGAATGAGAGGCAGTGTTGCGCGAAACAAGCACATGGGCATTAGGACCAGGTCCTGGCAGCATGTCAGTACCCTCAGCCTCGGTCCCCATGCAAGCTTTGTTTTCTCAGACACCTCCATCTGGTGGAAGGTGGACTCAACTGGAGCCCCGGTCGGTCTCACCTCCTTGTTCCTCCGGGCTAAGGAGAAAGGAGTGAAGAGAGTGCGCTGTCGCCTTCCTGTTCTATGTCACATCCCACCCCACCCCCCCCCGCAAACAACAGACAAGCCCAGCGAAGCGTTCAGGCCCATAACCAGAGGGGCAGGTTTTGCGATTGGCAGTCCCCACCAGGACTGTGTGAAGTTGGAGGAGGAGCAGGTTCCAGAAGGGCAGGGACACTGTCTGGGAGGGTGAAGCATTTTGGGTCTGCCACATTTAGCAAGAGGCAGAGAGACCTTGGGTTGGGTCTGAAAGATCAACTGGATTGGGTTGTGTCTAGCTGGGTTCCTAAAACTACAAAGAACAGATATACCTGGGGAATGTGAGAATGTTTTAAAAAGACACACACGTTTAAACCTCATGGTCCGTTCAGTTTGGTGAAGAACTTCCAGTGTCTGGCACCAACGTGCTGCAGACAGTTGCCATGAGTAACCCACGTTCAGGATGTGTGTGAGGTCAAGGAGTCTCCCTACCTGTTGTCAGAGGGCCACTGTGATACCTCTGGCCAGTGACACGGCTGAAATGTTGCCAGGGGAACCAGTGATGTGCCACGTTGTGGGTGCTGCAGACCAGGGGTACCAGATGATGGCAGCTGCCACGTAGTGAGCGCCCCCATGTCTCAGGTGCGTGGACCGGGCACCATGCTGAGCGCACCACCGACATGGCATATAATCCTCAACGCAAGGTGGCTGCTTTCAGTCACAAGTGTGAGTTGAGAGTCCAAGTAAGTAATGTGCCTCGGGTCCCACTGCCAGTAAATGGGAGCCAGCTTGGGTTTGGGACTTTTCCCCTCAGACCACACAGCCTCCTGAAGAGAGAGCCTTTGTTGGCGTTTCCCACTCATTAGCCAAAGGGGTTTGAGCGGCTCTGATTGTGGGGGCCTGGTCTTCGGCTTTAGATGGGATGATTCCATCAGACTACTCCAACCGTTAAAAAAAAATAATGCGCCCAACAGAAGGTCACTTTAAGGCAAGTGGTTCCAAACACTGGGGGAAGCAGGCCTGTTCTCTTCCTGCCACCTGTTAAGTGGGACGAGAGGGAGAACAAATCTGGAGACTGGGATGGGGGGACAAGCCCAGTTTGGGACACTTTGAATCATAGGTGCCTATGGACCTGAGGCAGGATGGCTGTGGGCGATATGCATGTGCACCTCAGAGAGTCCTTGGGCCAGACAGAAAGATGGAAGAAAACCCCAGGTGCGCAGTGGGAAGGAAGTAAGAGATAAAATATATATATTTTTTATCTCTCTCTCTATATATAAATAATATGATCCCTATCTCTATCATATATATATGTATCCCTAATATATATATATATATATATATATATAAAATATCCCTATCTCTAAAAATTGGATATAAATTTACCAAATTTAACTGGTTATGTATGGCTGTCTGGTAGAATTACAAGTGAGTTTTGTTTTCTTCTGAGTATTTCTCTCTGTATAGTGAATATGCATTACTTCACATATCAGAGGGAAAAGTATTTTTATAAAAGAAAACAAGACCTATTTCTTTAGTGGAAAATGGCCTGTGGTGATACACATGGGTGATGAGGTGATTGATACCCCTGAGTATCCGTCGTTATCCCAAGGCAATGTGTGTGAATCCAAGCTCAGGTTGTCTATATGGTTACAAACAAGGCTGTCCCTCGGTGCCACAGTGCGTGTTTCAAGCCATTGTTCCCATTCACGGCATGTAAAGTAGGTAGACAGAAGCTGCCCACTGAGCTGTAACTGCTGTCCATTTGCAGAAATGATCACCTTACTGGCCCATCCTGGCTGAAGGTAATTGCTTCTGGTGTGATCCAGCTAGGCTGCTCACTCTTGCTGGGCCGCCGTTGCTTAAACTGTGAAATTAAAGGGGGTTAGGGCTGGAGGACAGATCTCAAAAGCCTTTTTGAGCTCTAAGATTTTAGGCTTCCCTATTCGTCAGAGAATAGGAACATCTTACAGGGAGTGATTCAAAGTGGCTGTTGCGCTCTTGAAAGGTGGCTAGTGCGACCGAAGGACTGATGAATTTTTAATATTAATTAAGTTTATTTTTACATAAGCACATGTGGCCAGTGGCTACCATATTGGACGGCACAGCTCCTCCATTGGAAGATAGTAATACGAGGTGAGCATTTTAAATGCCTATACATTTTTACATGTACGTATTTTTGAAATTAAAAAAAACCCTATAATTTAGAAAAACAGTTTGGTTTCATTATAGACAACATAGACAACAAGAAGAAAGTAGAGTAGTCACAAAGGAGAGTCTACTCAGAGATAATGGCTACAGGCACCTTGGTGTATAACCTTCTAAATGTTCTCCTCTGCGTATGTCATAGTAGCCAGCTGGCTTTTAGAAGCATAGTCTGGGATCATCCAGAAAGGGATAATGACATGTTGGTAGGAGACAATGGCCCGGAAGACAATACGGATAGAGGTGTTAGCAATCGGCCATGGCTGATGTTTCTTTCCTGGATGCCAGGTCATCAACCCCATGGGATGGGATGCCTTTGGACTGCCTGCTGAAAATGCAGCCATTGAGAGGAATCTACATCCAGAAAGTTGGACACAAAGGTATGTATCTGCAGGCATCTTCAAATACTTCTATACAGAAACCTTAAAAAAATGTTTTAATCTGTGCATGAGAAACAGCGAAGCAAACAAAACATTGCAGTCTGCCAAGCGATGAACAGGATTGTATATATTGGCGCTGGTCTTCTAGTGTGCTGTATTCTTAACTGAGAAGTCCCAAAGAAGGTTCTGGGTATTCATTCACGTGTTCATTTTGATGCTTTGTTGTTACAAAGTTATTCTTCCCTTGAGTGTTTGCATTTGGAAGGAAAATGTAGGAGAGGGTTGCATTTGTTAAATTTCTACAGTGCTTCTCATCTGCTTGACCACAGTGTGAGCTATATCCAAATTCCACATTGTAATTTTCTCTGAGAATTCTGTTAATTTTTGCCTTCATCATTCCAGAGCAAGGGGAACTTAGACATTCAATACAGAAATATATGGCCAATATATTTTGGGGATGGCTTTCTCCAAGGGGGACACATTCCCAATTCCATCTGTGCCTCAGGCTTCCACATACATGTGGGCCAGCAGTGCCCATCCTTCATCCCAGAACCCAGTGGAATGTTCTGGGCTCACTCCATCAGCCTCTTCCACAAAGATCTGGGGCCTTTCCCCACTCCATGCCTCAAGAGATCTAGAAGGGCAGTTCCAGGGCCTGTCCCCATTGTCTTTGACCTCCCTTTGCTTTATCTTGCCCAAGGCTACTTTCGAAAAACATCCACTGTACCATCCACTTCTCTTTTATTCTCTTAACCCTTAGTTCCCACTTTTTCAGGATTCTAGATTAAATGGGAATAATGAAAAAAGGAAGAAAAGATAATCAAATAAAGTGGATCAAATATGGCACAAAATTGATGTAAGCTAGACCGAGGATTGGCAAATTAGGGCCCGTGGGCCAGATTTGGCCCTGCCTGATTTTGTAAATAAAGTTTTATTGGAACACAGCCATACCCATTTGTTTACATATTGCCCATGGCTGCTTTCATGATACAGGGGCAGAATTGAGTTGTTGTGATAGACATATGGCTCACAAAGCTGAAAACATTTACCATCTGGCCCTTTAGAGAAGAAGTTTGCCAAATCCTCCACGGAGAAAATAGCCATTAAGAAGATGGCCCCTGAATCAGGCCACCTCGGTGCAAATTCTGCCTTTCCTTCTTGCTTGCTAATCACCTTGAGAAAATTACTTAATGTCTCTGTGCTTCAGTTTATTTGTCTGTACAAGAGGGATAGTCATCGTTCCTACCTCATCTGAATGGATAAAGATTAAGCACCATCTTCGTTGGCTACTGTAACAAAAATGCCATAGTCTGGGTTGGCTTATAAACAATAGACATTTCTTTCTCATAGTTCTAGAGGCTGGAAAGTCCAAGACCAAGGCACCTGCAGATTTGGTGTATGGAGAAGACCCTCCTTCTTGGTTCGCAGATGGCCATCTTTGTGTCCCCACATGGCAGAAGGGCCAAGGAAGCTTTCTGGCGTCTATTTCATAAAGGCACTGCTCCCATTCAAGAGGACTTCCCCCACATGACCTCATCACCTTCCAAAGTCCTCACCTCGAAATACCATCACCTTGGAGATTAGGTTTCAGCAGACAAACTCTGCAGGGACATAAACATTGTCCATAGCAAGCACTTTTCTGCAAAATATCTAGCACAAAGCCTGGCATAAAATAAGCTATTGTTGGTTAAGCAGAGATCACCTAGGGGAAAAAATGATGTTATCACCTTATTTCAAGTCGATTCATTTGCTTTTCTCCCCCCATCCCAATTATTGGACAGTTTTAGATTTTAAGTTTTGACTGATAAGCACGAAAGCAGGTTTCTTTTGGATTCCCACAATTTGCACATTAGGGTTTTTCTCTTCAGTTGATTTTAAACTTATACATGCTTGGCTTAAATTTATGCGGAATATAGATGTATGGATGGGCCGGGAGTGCACATACCAAAGGGGTTGCCTATCATGGCCAGAGGAAGGGCCAAAGACCATTGTGGTTTCTAGTAGATTCTGTATGAATCCGAAGAATAGGTGTCTTCTAATTCTAATACGCTGATACTTCCGTTAATTCTTCGTGATTAATTTTTTTTTTTTTTTTGCCAGGACAAAGCAACATTGGAAGCCCTCTTGAATAATCTAGACTTTTACAGTTTCCCTTCACATTCTCAAAGTATGGTTTGTCTGTGGCTTTCCCCCCTCTGAAAACCAAACTTTCTTCCCTCTGTTTCACAGTAATATTGAACACATGAGGAAGCAGCTTGATCGACTGGGCCTGTGTTTCAGCTGGGATAGGGTAAGTCAGCCCTTTCTCCTGGAAGGGTTTCATTTTTATGAAGGTCCCAGCTACACAGGAGATCATGCACACTTTATGTTTCTCCTCTTTGGGTTGGGAGAAGGGAAGGGAGGGAGGGAAGGATTAGCACTCCACAAATGAAAAAAATATTCCCGGAGGACAGTCTGCCTGCAAACAAGTAATTTTCTATGGGATTAAGGTAAGAGAGTTAACTTACTCTACAGCTGACTAGAATTTATATGTGTCAAAAGCTTTACACGTGGATTTCTCCTCTTCTCTGCAATATTTTTAAAAAGACTGTTGGAATCTCTATAAACGTGATTAACTAACCACCCATCGGGGTTTTTTGGGTGGTTAGGTGTTAAGTTGACTGACCATCTATTTACCTTTGTTCCGAGTCCAAAATTGAGTCTCATAACAGCCCGTAATGCTTGTGTCACAAGTGGCATTTTGGTGTAAAATGCTTTTGAGCTGTGTATTAAACCAATGGAGAATTCCAGGTGTGGGAGGAGTTGATGAAGACCACCTGGGTGTTAAGAACATTGAGGAAACTGGGAACTGAGCCCTTCAACGCTCTGGCCAGAGGCCCACCCCCTTGGACACTGGTGGCCTGTTTGGTAGGAGGGATTCCTGCCTGTCCCTTCACTGGACCATCCAATGTCATGATCCCTCTTAGTATCCATATACTCCACAAAATGATTGAAGTTTTCATTGCTGGACCTGTCAAGGTCCAGTTCACATCCTCTTCCCCATGAGAAGCACCTGGAACAAACCCAAATACGATCTTTTCCTCCTCCTTCAGCAATTTCTTAAATAATGGAGATTTGATGAGTACAGTGAAAGAAAGCAAACACATTTCAACAGTCCTTTTTGTTTTTTTCTGGTGGCCTCTTTAGATAAGGTCATGAGCTGAATCAAGTTCTCGTTATACCACTGATGCCATTTTTACCACTGGCTTGACTTGCAGGGTTACCAGGTGTTTCATTTGGTGGAGGTGTGAAAAAGTCCTGGTGGCCTGGTCCCATTGTCCTGAGGTGCTAGTGGGAAATCACGAACCAAATGCAGTCTGATGCAGAGACACCTGAGTCCTGCCCAGAGCTCTCCAGAGATGAGATTCTAGATTCCTTGAGGGCAGAGATGGACTTGGTAACTCTCTAGTCCTGCACAGGAACATCAGGCATTAAATGGTTCAAAATATTAGCGGATTATCGTAGAAGATTAGAAAATACAGAAAAGTCTGAAGAAGAACGTAAGTCAGTGCGGCTAATTTAACATCCTGGTATGGTTCCTTGTGTCTTTTATTCTGGAATTATAAGCATCTATGTAACTTCCTTTTGCAAAGTTGAATTCATAATGCATGTTTTTATCTTGCCTTTTTTTTTTTTACCTACTATTCATGAATATTTTCCCATTTTATTAAATATTCTTTGAAAAAATGACTTTTTAGAGTGGTCTAGTTTTCCATCTTATGACTATTGTAATTTATGTAACTTACCCCTTATTATCATACATTTAGATGGATTTTAATGTTTCTCTATTATAAATACGGGTACTCAGTCCCTTCTGTGCAAATCTGAAGTCCAGAAAGCTCTAAAAGCTGAAAATTTTTTTTAATTCAGCCTACTACAAAACCTGACCTGAACTGGTATTTATCTCACTTAGAATGAATATTTGTATATATTCCTATAGGAATAGTAATATAACTGATTACCAGGTACTCTTCCAGACCTCGTTGGGTAAATATGCTATTATTTTTTGATATCCAAAAAAGTCTTTTTTTTATTTAAATTTTAATTTTTTTTAAAGATTTTATTTATTTGAGAGAGAGCATGAGAGAGAGCAAGAGGGGATAGCATCAGAGGGAGAAGCAGACTCCCTGCTGAGCAGGGAGCCCAATGCGGGACTCGATCCCAGGACTCTGGGATCATGACCTGAGCCAAAGGCAGACACTTAACCGACTGAGCCACCCAGGCACTCCGTATATCCAAAAAGGTCTTTTTTTTTTTTTTTTTTTTAAAGATTTTATTTATTTATTCATGAGAGAAAGAGAGAGAGAGAGAGAGAGAGGCAGAGGGAGAAGCAGGCTCCCAAGGAGCAGGGAGCCCGATCCGGGACTCGATCCCAGGACCCTGGGATCATGACCTGAGCCGAAGGCAGACGCTTAACCATCTGAGCCACCCAGGCGCCCCAATCCAAAAAGGTCTTAATGCTGAGGCACATTTGACTGCAAGCATTTCAGATAAGGGGTTTTGAACCTATTGTGCAGTGTTGTAGATAAATACATCTCCGCTGCTACCACTGTCTAATGGTTACTGAGCACTTAAACCAGGGGCCAGGCACCCATAATTATCTCTTTGGGTCCCTAGTAAGCTCTAAAATGAAAATACTTTTATTGACATCATTTTATTGCTGGTCACTCAAGCAAGCAGGGCTTGGCTAATTAGCTGACCAATTTGCTATATTCATCCCCCACTCTTGGATCATGACCTGAGGCGAAGGCAGCCACTTAACCGACCGAGCCACCCACGTGCCCCGGAGCAGAAATCTTGATACATCATTTTTTTTATTTCTTTAATGTGAACTCTCAGAAAAGCCATGATCAAGTTTAAGGCTTATATAAGTACTTAAAGGAAACTTAAGGGTATAATTTGGCTTGTGGTATTTGAAGGTCTGAAGACTGTACAAATTTACTCTCAAGTTGTTACAGAGATGTTTTCGTCTGTATTTCTTTCATTATTCATGATTGGTAGGTTTTTTTTTCTTTCATGTGTTTAATGGATGTTTGAATTTGGGGTGTGTGTGTGTGGATGATCTAATCATGTCTTCTGCCCATACTGGTAAGGAATGTTTGTTCTTTTTTCTTTTTTTTTAGATTTTATTTATTTGAGCGGTAGAAAGAGCAAGCGGGCATGAGCCAGTGGGGGAGGGTCAGAGAGAGAGGGAAAGAGAGAATCTCAAGCCAGCTCTGTGCTGAGTGCAGAGCCTGACTCAGGACTTGATCTCACGACCCTGAGATCATGACCTGAGCTAAAACCAAGAGTTGGATGCTTAACCAACTGAGCCACCCAGGCGCCTCTGATAGGAGTTTTTAGGCATAATTTATTCTTTATATTATACATTTTCTGATCATGTATTATTTCTTAAACATTGTGTTTGCTGCTAGTTTTAAAATCACATCCATAACGATTATTCAAATTGAAGTCTCCTTAGCTGGTTTCAGTGCTCATCAGTAGACCTTTTTAGACTATGTCCGCCCATTTAAAAAATCTGGATTTGTGAAAATTTTATTTTGACTCTTGCTTTTTCTGGCATCATACCTTGTCTTCATAACGGAAAATGACTATCCTTTGCTTTCACGTGTGAACAGGAGTTTATTGGGGTATGGAATTCTTTTTTCTTTCAGATTTCTGTAGTGGACCTTGATGCTTGACCTACTTTTTTTAAAAAAATAATTATAGACTTACAGGAAGTTGCCAAGTAGTACAGAGATCCTAGGTACCCTGTGCCCAGCTTCCCCCATTGAGAACATTGGATGGAACTACAATATAATATAATATCAAAACCAGGAAAATGACACTGGCATGAGACTATTAACTAGAGTACAAACCTCATTCAGATTTCGCCAGTTTTACACACAGTCGCTGGGGCGTGTGCAGTAGTAATCATTCTGTGTGGCTTAATCCCGTGTGGAATTTATGTAACCACCAGCTTCTGACCCGCCAGCCTTCGGGAGGGAAGTCTGAGGCCAGCCCAGACGGTCCATTCGGTCCATTCGTACATGCAGTAATCTTTATACCCACATCTGATGGTCGTCGGGCTCTTCCTGTCTCTGCACCTGCTGTTTCAAGTTTTCATCCGAGCGTATCCCAGTTTCATCCTTCCGCTTGAATTTTGGGTGCTGAGTGACCCCTTTCAATCTGCAGTTGCGGGTCCTTCCCTGTGGCAGTTTTATGGGCTCTGGTTCCCAAGAACCTCGACTCGGTGCGTGCACTCCGCTCACCTTTGTTTGTCTATCTCCCTCATGACCTTGGTCCCTTTGTTCTTCTCTACCTCTTGGGAGAACTTCTCCTGTTTGCTTTCCACATCACTGGGCCAGTTTCTATTGAATCAGTGCCACTTTGTGTGGTTTCTAATGCAGATACTAATTTGGCTTTTGTACTTTTAGATTGAGTCGTATTTTTTCTTATCTCATGCAGTTCCCAGTTTCTTTCTCAAGCCTCTTCTTTATTTTCTTCTTCCTTCACCATCTTATCTCATCTGCACAGCCCGTGTATGTTCAGAAACTTTGAGGCTATAAGGAGATGCTCTTGAAAAATTATTTTTGCTTCCTGCGCTCAGTCTTTTTTACAAGTAGGAATGCCGTGTTGTCCTTGTTTGTTTCAGAATCTCTTCATAGATACCTTGTGGATTTTCTCCCGTATTTGCTCAGTGACATGGACTAATATATCAAGTTAGAGATCCCGCAGCCTGAGGGGAGGGGAAAGGAAGCTCCTTCGTAGTCTCTGCATCATTGATTCCTTTCTGGGTTTGGGGAATCCACTGCTCCTGGTGCATCTTTCCCTTAGGTCTGATCTTTACCCAGGGATGAGTTGTGGTATCACAGATACCCCTGACCTGACTGACCCAGAGGGGTCTTTGTGGGCTTTCTGTTTGCCCCATGGCCCGCTGTCCCCTCAGGACTTTGCCCTTTCAAGTGAGAGGTGGCAGAGCCCTGCTTCTCAAGAACCCAGTGTGTTCTTAGAGGTGGGGGGGGGCGGGGAAGCACTGTTTGGCGTATGGTATTTTTCTTCAGTTTGGTTCCATCTGCCAAAATTCCTTGACATTTCTGGCACGTCAGGGGCACCTTCTGTTGTTTCCAGTACTGGTGTAGTAACCCCATGTCCCCAGTCTTTATATTCATTGGTCATTTTTTAAAAAAGATGTGATTTATTTGTTTGAGAGAGAGAGAGTGAGCAAGAGAGAAGGAGCAGGGGAAGGCAGAAGGGGAAGCAAGCTCCACG